TCGTGTTGTTTATTTTCAAGTTTAGGAAGTAAATGTCTCCTTACATGTCATTGTGAAAATTTTTTTTACATATTTGATTATCGATTGTGACTCGCCAGTCGGAAATTCCTGGGTCCGCCACTGTTACTTTACTATAATAAATTATTCATCCACATTATTATATTATAATAAATTCACTCTCCTAAAACTCCGCATATTTACAAGTGATGCAAATAAAAAAATAATAAAAAAAATAAAAATAAAAAAAAACAAAACAAAAAAAAAACGGAAGGAGTATTTTAATATTGGTCATAGACTTGTAGGTCATTTAATTCTATAATTTAGAGTAGGTTATACTTCGTATAAGGCTAATATTGACTTGAGGAGTTGAGAAGAAGACATAAATAGTGAAGTAACATGTTATCATTGATGCGGTATAATTATTGCCCTAGCTAGTTGATTATGACTACTGTAAGTTAATGTAGAGTGAACATAAAGCTCATTTATTTCGACAATAATTTTTCAAGTATTAATAATATGTACCACTATTAAATTTCAAATTGAAACCGTATAACTCTCCGAAATTGACCGACTCAATTGAGATCTGAACCAATTAAAAGCCGATTTTTTAAAACCAAAAATCGATCAGAACTGTGTTTAAGTAAACCCGAAACCGAACCAAATCGAATAATGTCAAACAGTATAAGAATCGAACTAAAATAGAACCAAAACATTGTTAACCCGAACCATTTCTAAACCAAAACCATTTGAACCGAGTTTAAAATCATTTACACCGAGCCGTTTACAAATCGCGACCCGTTTGCACCGAATTGTTTACAAACCGAACGGTTCCTAATTACTTACGAACCATTTATAATCGAACCGCTTATAAACTGAATTGTTTACAAAACGCTTACTTTTATAAATTGGTAGCCTTAGTGGAATTTTTCTTGTCATCTTAATCTAAACGTATGAACTATAAATAGAAGATTAAAATCACGGTAAAAGAAATTTTAAATGAAATCTAATTATGCAGACATGTTTACTACGTAGTACATTATTACTAGAGTACTATGTATCGATTAAGTTAGTAGTTAGTTCATTGTTAATTTATTTTATACATAACTGATTTTAGACTATGTTCATGCATCATTACTTCATTAGAACAATTTTTTTTTTTTTTTTTCTTTTTTTGGGGAATCATTAGAACAACTATCAAATAAAAGAAAGTGTTGAAAGTATACATTACATTAGGAGATGACAATAACTTATCAAAACAATTATCACTACTTAGCATATGTAGCATTAGTTATTAAGATGTTTGTTAGTAGACTTGACAAAATAAAATGATCAAATCAAGACTGAATAACATTAGTGATGAAGTTTCGGCTAGATATAAAATGAAACTTGCTAACCAATAAAAGGTTAGAAAGTTGTTTATTTATCTTCAATAATCATCTTCTAAAAATGCGTGCTTAAAAGGTGTGGCAAGCAAAAAGAAACAAAGGAAGTAATAGGGAAATATTCTTGTGTGATAAAATGATAACATCCAATTTTTATTTTTACTGTAAACAGAGGAAGTAATAGATCCATAAACTTTCACATTAATTTAAAATTAGTGCCACATCACCTAGGCAAGGTCCCTTATTTTTTTGTGCCAACTCATCTAAGTTATAAAGTCTGTAAACTTTGCCAACAAATCTTTTTTTTTGTCGCAATAGATGTTGTAATTACTATTTAATGGTGGTTAAGGGACCAATTTTAGCCATTTGAAAGTTGAGAGACTTTTCCAAACATATATCAAAATTTAGGGATCGTATATGGTCTTTACTCCGATAATTTCATTAAATTGCGCGCGAGTACAATAAAGCATCCAATGGGGATGACCTAATGATCGTTTTATTTACCTCGTTGTACTCAGCTTATCGCACAGGTTAATTATCTTGTATATAATATTTAAATGTAAAAATTATCTAAGTATAATTTATAGATACATCAAATAGTTTAAACGAATTTTTATTGTGTATACATTACAGGTACGGAAAATTATAGAATTTAAATTGTTGATTCGGGTTTATATTTGGACGAACAATTATATTGTTCTAATGATTAAAGCTATAGTAATCAAAGATAGACAATAAAACTACTCCATTCCGATTCACCCTTTTGTACTATATTGTAACGTGGTTCGTTATATGAAACTCTAAATGTCTCATATGATCCAACATCATATATGTGCTTGCTAAAATCGTATAAGATGTTATTATCAGTCTAAAAATGAATAAAAGGTTGTTGGTTAGGATTAATTGGTTTTGTGAGGGAAGCTAAGGGTTCAACTCCTATTCTTAGCAACCAGATGTACTTTACTTCTTATTTATTAATTTTTTTTTACAGAACATATTTTTTACTCTTTATTCTTTTACTATACTCTTTTTTGGACAGAGCTTTTTTTTTTTTCCTTTTTTATATTTAACGTATCTTTGCATCTCTCTCATTCTAATGTCTAATCTCATTATATTTCTTAATTTCTTACACAAAATTACACCTAATTTTTCTATGTCTCAAGTTCAATGGTGTAGTTGACAAATCTTGTCTACAAATTTAATTGATAGACTTTTTAAACACAATTAAGTTGTTGAAAATTTTATGAAAATACATTTTGCTATATTTTTAAGAGAAAATCTAATATATATATATATATATATATATATATATATATATATATATATATATATATAGGAGTTGGATCATGTGAAAACCAACCTTAAGCTGAAAACTAAAAACATAACATCTTAACCGTAGATTGTGATCTACCATTAACCCATCAAATCTTACGGTCGAGATTTTTTCTCCATTTTTCATGCAAAATGTAATTTTAAATTTGATTTTCTCTTGCCGGCAACGAAAACTCTCCATTCTCCAGCTTAAGCATACTCAACTTAAAATTTTTGAACCCAGGTATCCTCTCTCCTCAGCTTCTAATTTTAAATTCCAAACCTTCTTGATTCATTTAAATGCAATCTATCTTCTTTAATTATAATAATTCGTTAAATTTGTGTTGAACTCTGATCTTGCCTGTATATAAGCCTAAAATTCATCGAATCCTTGCTTATTATTTCGTAATTGATTTTCATTTGATTTTCTTGATGTTCAATTGATTAATTTGGTGCTCAATTGGTTGATTTGATTAAAAACCAACAAGCAGTATTGTTGGATACGGAGCGTTGTTGTTATTGTCAAATTGTGAATTTTGTGGTTTTCCATCGTATACAAAATAAAGCTAATTTAGTATTAGATTAAAATGTTAAAAGTGTTATGCTAGATTTTATGGAAGGATGAAATTGAGTTGGGTTGGAGTTACATATTGTTTTGTAGTTGTTGGGGAAGAAATAAAGCTGGGCACTGATCAATTGAAGAAGCAAAGGTGTACAACGAAATGTGTAGCTTAGTACACTGAAGGTGTTCGATGGAATGCCTAAACCAGTTGTGCTATCAGAAGGAGCTTAATTTGGCAGAAAATGAAGGAGTTTGAAGGTGCTTGATGAGTTCTAATGTAATGATCTAGTTATAAATTTGGTGTCTATGTTATAAAAAATGATATCTATGTTATTTAAAAATGTATCTGTATTTAAAAGGTTTCTATATTATAAGGTCACTATGTATTTAAAAAGGTATCTATGTTATTTAAAAGGTTTCAATATTATAAGTTCACTTTATATTTAAAAAGGTATCTATGAAATTTCTGGGTTGTTTTTCAACCGTCAGATTATTTCATTAATCATCAACGGCTGAGATTTGTTGTTTTTAGTTTTCACCATAAGCCAAGTTTTCAGCGTAACACTCCCGTATATATATATATATATATATATATATATATATATATATATATATATATATATATATATATATATATATATATATATATATATATATATAAAGGGGAGTTTTTCCCGAGTTTTTATAGAGCCACGTATGATTTAATTTTCATAGCGCGTCATGTAGGATTATAAATTTTAGTTGTAGTTAGTTAAATAAGAGATTATTAATTTATTTTATAATTAAATAATTCATATGCCACGTAAGCAAAATTGGCAAATGAGATTTTTAAGTTTTAATTAATTAAATATTAAATATTATCTTTTAATATTAGGAAAAATATTTATCTAAATATATAACAAATTTTAGCACATAAATACAAAAAAAAAAAAAAATTATTTTAAAAATCCAAATAAATCGTGCATCGCACGGATTTCATCTAGTATTATTAAAACTCAAGGGGATAACATGGAATCGACATGTGTCACCCTTCCTTAAATATTTGGCGCCACATGAGTATTGAGATGTCAAGTCCTATTGTCGTTTTAAATACCAAAAATCAATGTAATAATGCAAATTTATGATTATGTTATAATTTGAACTATTAAACTTAAGAACGACATTTACCATCAAACAATCAATGCCTCTTAATATTTATTGTGCTTTGCTTTTAAATTTGACAGTAACACTCCTTATTTCACAACTTTGCACTTCTCAGTATGCATGTACTATTGTTTTATTATTTATTAGTCAATTAATAAGCAAACATAAATTCATGTTCAATTAATATTTCAACTTTAAATCACTATTGAAATTTTGTAACTGTATGTTGGTGACCATCAAATATTCCCACCATAAATTTCTTAGTTTCCTCCCTCTAATGTCTAATCAAATCAAAAAATTAAACATTCAATATTGAACTTAAAAATAATCAAAATAAAAACAATGATCCCGGACATCGTACAAGCAAAAAACTAGTTGGCCTTAAAATCAATGTTATTAGAATCGAGATTCTACTTTAAATCGGAAGAGGGGGTAGAATCAATCGTATAATCGATCAATTCTACAAATTTTGCAAAAATATGAAAGTATACCCAATTGTTTCACTTATTTACTCATTTTTTTTTTTTATGTAAATCATGATATTAAATTCATTTTTTTTTCATTTAACTCAATAAAATGACAATATTGTTAAACTTATTACCTATATAAAGCTAAATTTTATAATGATAAATTGATAATAATGTTCAGAATAGTGCATTACACTTCATTCTTACAATTTAAATTAGTACATCTACGTTCTACGATTTAAATTGAAATTAGTAGTAATTTAAATTAGTAAAGCACTAAAGCACTAATTAGTAGTAATTACACTTCACTCTTACAATTTAAATTGAAATCAATTAATAATTAATCATCAAAGCCAAAACTACCACCATCTACATCATCACTTCCTAAATCAGCTCCTGTGGTAGTTCCTCCAATATCGGTATCGTCGACAACTCCAAAATCATCCAAATCAATTTCATTAGAGCCAATAAAGTTTACAGCAGCCTCATTTTCTTTAGCATGATCATCTTCATCACTCGGTGTTTGAACTTCAACCACATTGTCTATGAGAAAAAAAAGGAAATATAAAAGCGAGAAGTTTAATATATTAGGAGACTAGGTATTTTAGAAATTAGAATGAAAGGAAAAATTAGTAAATATACATACCTTGTAATTCTGTGTACAGGCTTTCATTCTCATCTCGTGTTGCTTGTCTAGTAAATCTTCTAGCCGCTCTGTGTACAGCCATTCTCCACCTGTCGGACGAACAGGTTCCTCTGTTTCAGTAATCCATTCATCATCATATTGCAATTCATCTAGAATTATAGGTTGATGTATTACAGACTTGCTTGCTCGATTTTCTTGTCTACGCTTTAACTTCAGATTATACATCACAAAAACAAGATCACTCATTCTTTGTTGATGCAACTGATTTCTCTTTTTGTATGAACCTGTTATTATCAAATATCAATTAAAAAAGTCTGAACATAAACCCCATTTATATGATTCATGAATGTATCACAAAAATTGGATAGTAGAGCTTTTTACCATCTCAAACGCACTCCAATTACGCTCACAACCAGAAGAACTGCAAATTAAACTCAAAATTCTTACTGCAAACCTTTGTAGCTGCGGACATTCATCTCCATACGACTCCCACCAATTAATCAGCTGAATAGAATAAGTAAGTTAGGAAACTTTTCAGTTTCATGAATTATAATATAAAATGATTGACAAATGACAAAATGGATTTTTTTTTTGTTCTATTCATAATGGCAGTAGACAGCCCAAATATGTTAGAAAATATTCTGTAGATATTTTTTGTAAATCAGAATATTTACTTCCTGTATTTAGTTTATTGCATCTAATCAGTCCTTGATATTAGGAGTGATTACAGGCAACTAATTAGGCAAGCTGTGATATATAAATGGCTGTGTAACCGGACCTTTTCAAGCAACATAGAAAAACCCTTAAACCCAAAAATCAGTTTTAATCGTTAGGTTCTTTTTCTGGCGACCGGAAAAGCTTCGGCGTCATCATTTACCATGGAAAACGAAAACCAATTCATTGTTTCAAAACCAGTTACAATGGAAGACCTGTTGCAACTGGTTACCCAGTTAAAAACCATCAAATCATCCATTGAAACCTCGAACCCATTCAAATTTCTAAAAAATTAAACCACGGAAATTACACAAAATGGTCCAAACTGATGCAACTCGGCATTGGAGGACGAGGGAGGCTCAACCACATCACAGCCCCCCCCCCCCCCCACCTCCTGAAGATCCCGAGTACACCATGTGGGCTCAAAAGGACTCGATTGTAATTTCGTGGGTAATCGAGAATATTGAACCAGAATTACAGAACCAATTTCTTGATTACCCAACGGCAAAAGAATTATGGAAAGGAATAGAAACCATGTACGGCAGTGGAAGGGACGATTTGCAAATTTTTGATCTCACGATCAAAGCAAACAAAATTCAACAAGGCCCAGATCCAATTGAGGTGTATTACAGCAAACTCACCTCAATCTGGAAGGAAATTGATCGAAGGCTACCAAATCCAATGCAGTGCCTAGAAGACAAAACGGTATACAACCGTATAATCCAACAAAACCGACTATACCAACGAGACTCGATGAGTCTCTTGACAAAGATCGAAGAGACCTGTTAAATTCAGACCCTCTTCCCACAATAGAGATTGCGTATGCGACAATCTGTCGCGAAATATCTCGATGAGGGATTATGAAAAACAGTGAGAATCCCTCGACGGGAGATTCAGGAATCGGCAGTGGTCTTGCGACCAAAGGAAGAACGGAGAAACCTAGATTCCGGCGGGATGATGATAAAGCAAATCTCCGGTGTACTCACTGTGGAGGCACGAGACACACCAAGGAGGGGTGTTTCAAAATAATCGGATACCCAGACTGGTGGGCAAATAGAAAGAAGAAAGGGGGAGAAAATCAGCAGCTCCGACCAAGTAAGGCGGAGTATAGTGCGAGCGAAACCACAGAAAGTGATGACAAGGAGGGTGGCGCCATGGTGGCCACCGCCTCACCTCAGAAAACAGGTTTGGAAACTTTTAGTTTAAATGCAGAAGGTATGAAAAGCAATCTCTCTAATTTCTCTTTTAATACCCAAACCGTGCCTTTGAGTACATGTGAGACAAAGCCCATTTGTAATAAGCCCACAACAAATGTCTTATTCTCTTATAAAAGTGAAAATCAGTCCATTGGACTTATGGGCACCTCTCATAAAGATAAGAAATGGATATTGGATTGTGGTGCAACCGATACCATGACTTTTGACAAATCCGATTTTAGAACATTGAACAACCCCACAAAAACTCACATTCAAACAACTAATGGAGAAAATATTGAAACAAAAGGCTCCAGTACTATTGATATCACTGACAATATTAAGCTTCCGAATTGCTTGTTTATTCCCCAGTTGTCTCATAAATTGCTTTCTATTAGCCAATTGACCAAAGATCTAAATTGTACTATTCTAATGGATTCTACTGGGTGTATTGTGCAGGATTCTCAAACAGGGAAGATTATTGGGCATGGTACTGAAGAGAATGGATTGTATTATGTTAAACAGATGTCTCACCAAGGCCACGCATCTCTTGTTCGTGGATCGGTTGAACACCAACTCTGGACATGGCACCGGCGAGTAGGTCATCCATCTTTAGGGTATTTAAAAACGCTTTTTCCTTCTCTTGCTAGTTCAAACATTACTTTTGATTGTGAGGCTTGTTTTTTGGCCAAAAGTCATAAACATTGGTACCCTAGAAGTAATAGTTGAACTGAAACTCCCTTTACCTTTATTCATTCTGATTTTTGGGGGCTAGCTCCCGAATCTAATAACCATGGTTTCTTATATTATGTTACTTTTATTGATGATTGTACTAGAATGAGTGGGATATATTTTTTAAAAAATAAATCTGATGTGCATGATGTGTTTGTCTCCTTCTACAATATGGCCCAAACACAATTTCAAACACAAATCTGTATCCTCAGATCCGATAATGGGGGAGAATACAAGAACCTTGACCTGGACTCATTTATAAACTCCCACGGCCTTATACACCAAACCACATGTCCTGATACTCCACAATAAAATGGTGTAGCCGAAATAAATAACCGAACCCTTCTTGAAATGACACGATCCATGATGTTTGAATCTCGTGTTCCTGCTCATTATTGGCCCGAAGCAATTGCTACAACCAACTACCTCACTAACCGTCTTCCTACCAAAAGCCTAAACTTTTCTACCCCATTAGACACTCTCAAAACCCATACAAGTGTCCCTACTTCTCATTCCTTACCCCCCCCCTCGGGTCTTTGGATGTGTCGTCTATGTTCATTTCCCTAAACGCAGTAGGAACAAGTTAGAACGTCGAGCCGTCAAGTGTGTATTTGTGGGATATGGGATTCACCAAAAAGGGTATCGGTGCTTTGACCTAGTCGCAAACCGACTATATACAACGATGGACTGCGACTTTGTTGAAATCAAATACTTTTATCACCACCTTAGATCTCAGGGTGAGATTTGATGATCTAAGTTGGTTAGTCTATCCAGAACCGGCTGATCCTGATCTGAAAGAACAGGTAGGCAAAGCCACCGAGATGACTGATGATATATTACAGTCTAACAAATCAGATACCATGCTTGGTGATTCGATCACACTGTCTGAGGATCCTGAAAGAGAGGTATGTACTTCTCCTAGTACTCTTAGTACTCCTACTGTTTCTTGCTCTGATAATCCTGAGCCTGATGTTTCTCCTGAAGAAAGAGTGATAGAGTCAGAAATTTCTCCTGAAAAATTCAGTAAAGAAGAGAGACATGAGAAACCAAATGTGGAGCAATCCGGAAAATATAATCATCCTCCCCAAAGCACAAGGGGTGTTCCGCCGAAAAGGTATGATCCGGATTTTGAGGCACAAAGGTCAAAGTACCCCGTTAACAGGCCCGGTGAAGGAAATCTATCTCAGACAGCCAAGGCTTATAATGCAGCCATCTATTCTAAAGCTATTCCCACCACAACCGAAGAAGCACTCAAAAGCAATCACTAGAAGAAAGAAATGGAGGATAAAATCAATGCACTTATCCAAAACTAAACCTGGGAAAAGTGTATTTTACCGAAGGGAAAGAAACCAGTAGGATGCAGATGGGTGTTCACCATAAAATACAAAGCGGATGGCAGCATTGAAAGATACAAAGCGAGACTGGTAGCAAAAGGATATATCAGACATATGGGATTGATTATGCAGAAACTTTCTCTCCAGTCGCAAATTTCAACACCATCAGAGTATTATTCTCAATTGTTGCAAACAAAGATTGGCCTTTACATCAATTTGATGTTAAAAATTCCTTTCTACATGGAAATCTTTCTGAAGAAGTCTACATGGAAGCTCCCCTAGGTTTCTCACAAGATTTCTCAACCAGGAGAAGGGTGCAGATTACGGAAGGCTTTATATGGGCTTAAGCAGTCACCTAGAGCATGGTTCGGAAGGTTTACTACTGCAATGAAGAGATTTGGCTACAAACAAAGCAACTCAGATCATACTCTGTTCTTTAAGAAAAAAGGGAAATTAACTAATGTTTGATCATCTATGTGGATGATATGATCATTGCCGGAGATGACAAGGAGGAAATAGGTCAGTTGAAAGAAAAACTGATTTGAGAATTTGAAATGAAGGATCTCGGAAGCCTCAAATACTTTCTAGGAATAGAGGTACTTAGATCTAACAAGGGTATCTTTATTTCTCAAAGAAAGTATGTTCTTGATCTCCTGACAGAGGCAGGAATGATAGATTGCAAGCCCATAGATACTCCAATGATGATGAACCATGGGCTTCAAATTATAGAAGGAGCGAAATCAGTGGATCAGACACTATATCATAGACTAGTTGGAAAACTGATATATTTGTCTCATACTAGGCCAGACTTATCTTATGTAGCAGGAGTTGTCAGCAGATTTATGCAAAAACCTCAAAAACAGCATCTCGAGGCAGTATACCGAATTTTTAGGTATCTAAAGAGAACACCTGGAAGAGGAGTCATTTATGAAAAACATGGTCATCTGGATCTTCATGCTTTTACCGATGCTGATTAGGGAGGAGATCGAGACAGCAGGAAATCTACTTCTGGATACTTCACTCTGGTTTGTGGAAATTTGGTTTCCTGGAAAAGTAAACAGCAAAAGGTGGTTGCAATGTCTAGTGCTGAATCAGAATTTAGAGGAATAGCAAAAGGGATTACTGAAGTCCTATGCCTCAGAAAACTGCTGTCTGAACTTGGGTATACACCTAAGAAGAGTTGCAAACTGTATTGTGATAATATGGCAGCAATCCGTATATTAGAGAATCCAGTCCAACATGACCGCACAAAGCATGTGGAAATTGATAGACATTTCATCAAGGATCATCTTGAAGCGAAGGTAATAAGTCTCCTTTTGTGAGATCAGAAGATCAACTGGCAAATATCTTAACCAAGGCTGTTATATCACAAGCGCTTGAAGAAGCATTGTCCAAGTTAGGTGTTGGAGATCCTACGACCCAAATTGAGGGGGAGTGTTAGAAAATATTCGGTAGATATTATTTGTAAATCAGAATATTTACTTCCTATATTTAGTTTATTGTATCTAATCAGTCCTTGATATTAGGAGTGATTACAGGCAACTAATTTGGCAAGCTGTGATGTATAAACGGTTGTGTAACCGGACCTTTTCAAGCAATATAGAAAAACCCTTAAACCCAAAAATCAGTTTTAATCGTTTATTAAATAAACCTCTCGCAATTTTAAAAACATCCATTTGCAAATCGATCATCATTCTTTCATCGAGGTCGGGAACCATTCTTTGTACACAACTATATAGTCCTATTTTAATTTTTGCATTAGCTTGAAAATTAGGACTATACTAAAATTGAGGGTTTAAAAAATAGGCAGCAACTTGTAAGGGTCTGTGCATTTGATCCACCCAGCACTCGTCAACAATATCCAAGATAGGCTGGTAGCTACATCGAAACAAAAAAAAAAAAAAAAAAAAAAAAAAACCAAATGTATAAGTGGTATAAGAACTAACCAAATTGCAATTGTAAATTATTGTAAATTGAATTACTAAATAAGAAAAACTTACTTTCTTTCCACATTTTTAAAATTTTCCTTGATTTGATTTTTTGCTTGAGTCATTGCTTCATAGATGAATCCCATCGCCGAGTATTCATCGGAATCCACCATACGTAATACCCTTTCATAAGTGGAAAAATGACCAAAGTGAGCTTTAATTAGAAACAATGTTCCATAGTAGACGCGTGGAAAAACTATTTACCAAACTAAGCTTACAGGGTAAACCGCCATCCAGGTTGACGTTTTTACCCAGGCCAATTTTTTTGTAAATTTCAGTCAAGGCAAAAGCGTCATCCAGGGTGGCGTTTTTACCCTGACTGAAATTTGTAAAAAAAAATTGGCCAAGGTAAAAACGCCAGCTTGATTGGCGTTTTTGTATCAGGTATATTTCGCAAATTACTTCTATTTTTTTCATTGTTCTTCAAAAAAAAAAAAAAAAAACCCCAATTCCCAAACCCTAACCCACACATGGTGCTTGGCCAATCCTCCATATTTGCAGCAAATTCATCATATCCCATTGCTTAGATCTTCATCACACTCACTAAAAATTATTCCTCCTTCTTTGTTCAACACTTTTACGCAGTACATTGATCGAATTTGAGGTATGTATTGAATTTAACTATTTTACTTGTTTATGATGTTTTTTGGGAATTTATGTTTGTAATTTACAATGTATGTACTATATTATTGTTTAAGTATGCGAAATAAGTATAACTATATAATACATTGTTGTTTAATTGTTGAAATTAAGTATATTTATATGTATGTTGTTTAATTGCAAATCATGTATATGAAGCA